AAAAACAAATAAACAGAAACAAAGAAATGAACAAAATAAACTAGAAGCTGTGGAGGCAGAAAGCTAAGGCTCTACCACTTGGTAGCTGTGTGGCCTTGAGCATCTATCCTCTCTGTGCTTGTTTTCTTATATGCAAAGTGATGATCAAAGCATCTATCTCTCAGGATTGTGAGGGTCAGCAATTGTGGCGGTACCACCATCTCCAGTTAAACCTCAGGTTTGGGATATAAGGTTCCTTCAGGTCTGAGATATAAGATTCCTGCAGAAAACCTCCCCAGTCCTTCCTAACTCTGCAGCTTTCAGGGCTGGAGGGCCCTGCTCACGTTAAGGCTAAGGGGGGCTTCCCTGGGAGGAAATGTGATCAGTGTAGCCTGCTGTTCTCCCAGAACTATCCAGGCCCCACAGGACACAGCTGGTGGGCATGGGTAGGGCAGGGGTGGGTGGCTCCACCTTGTTCTAGTTCAGGGAGACCTGCTTCCAGGACACAGCAGCGTCAGCCTTGGCCTCAGAGGTTGTGATGCTCATGAGGAAATCTGGTAACTTGGGCTGTAGGAAGTGCAATTCTGTGCCACCTGGTGGGTTCTGAGGTGTTTTATGTACATACAGTGGCTTCTTTATCCAACCTGAAGGAAATGGGGACTATGCACTTCTTTATTTAAAGAAGAGTCAATTCTATGTGCACTCTTCATTGTTCTCTCTGTAGGGCCTCTTCCTCTGGAAAGCTAGACCCTGCTCCCTTACAGCATGGCAGCTGGGTTCCAAGACAGCAGGGGCGGCGCTGTGGCCTCACAGGGCCCAAACCTGGGGCTGTCAGAGCAGCATTCCCACCTCATTCTGTCAGAACAATCCAACAGGCCAGGTTCAAGTGTGTGTGTGTGTGGGGGAACAGGTGCACTCCTCCTCTTGATGGAGTGCACCTCTCACACACTTACCCAGCGGATACAGCATTGGCGGCCATCTTTGGGACCCCCTGTCACAGTCATGGCCTTTCTCTATACAATTTTGTGTATTTTATTAAAAATGAGGGTTCAGGCCCTAACCGGTTTGGCTCAGTGGATAGAGCGTCAGCCTGCAGACTCAAGGGTCCCAGGTTCGATTCCGGTCAAGGGCATGTACCTTGGGTGCGGCCACACCCCCAGTAGGGAGTGTGCAGGAGGCAGCTGATTGACGTTTCTCTCTCATCGATGTTTCTAACTCTCTATCCCTCTCCCTTCCTCTCTGTAAAAAAATCAATAAAATATATTTAAAAAAATGAGGGTTTAGGCCAAGTGGTGATTCGATATTGAGTCGGGGGAATAGAGGGTGCTGGGTGTTGGTGCTGCTACCCCGTCAGTCCATGTGCTCTTTAGTAAGTCAATTGATTCATTTGGTCTCAGTCTCCTCATTCGTTCCAGTAGAGGTTTAAGATGGGCAGGAGTTGACAGCACTAAATACCTTTTAAACTAAGTAAAAAAAATGCAGATCAAGCTTGGCACAGGTCAGCGCACATGTCGAGTGCTAGCTACTATCACTGGTTTTCCAGCCTTAAAACCCTCTCTTCTGTGGCAGGAAGCAAGTATTCGACATGGCCCGGGGCTAAACGACAGCAGAATCTCCTTGGAATGGCAGGGACATTCCCTCTGCGAATCTCACAGCTAAGCGGGCAGAATCTTGCCTAAACCCAAAGAACTCAACCAACCAGTTTTCAAAAAATCCCCTTTCCCATGTGCTTGCCTTTCCTTATTATGTGCTTACTTCTTGGGTGTTGAAACATTTAGGAATCTGGCTGAGACAAGTTTCTATGAGTTCCCTTCTCTCCTTCCTGGGTTGACAAGAAAAACACCACCTCTACTATGAAGCTCCCAGGTGCTGATTCCAGGTGCGGACCTGAGAAAGAAGATACCTAATAAGATGGGCTCCTGGTGGCTAACTGGATTCAGACAAACAAAAACAGAGCCTAGCAGCCATTTGCACACAGGGGCCTCTCATGCAAACGGCACTTCAGGGGGAAGCCTGCAATAAGCTACTGCCTCCTGCACTCAGCTGAACTGCACTGTGTTCCTGCCCTCTGATCCTGCCCTTTATAAAGAAATTTTTGGAATCCTATTTCAACCAATAGGACTGAGACTTTCCCTTGCCCATTGGATCTGCAGGGGTATAACTCCCTCAACATCTTCACTGACCAATCAGAGAGGCACCATTCTGACCAATCAGGACAGTGCCTCTTGGACCAAACTGAGAGGATTTGGAGTCCTCATTTGCACCAGGGACCAGAGGCAAGGGCTTCTGTTTATATAAGTCAGCTCTCCTCTGGCTCTGGGAGTGCACTGTCCCTTTCCACCTTAAGACTTCCTTTTCCCAGAGAGGAAACATCAACGATGTCTGTCTGGAGAGGGAGCAGAGCTGTCTAGCTGGAGAGGTGCTGCTGTTGCATAGCTGTGCTGTATCACAGTTGAGCTGTTTGCATTGAATAGTTTCCCTCAACCTCAAACTGGGGATTCCTATTGGCCTTTGACGCTTGCGACACAATCTCGTTTATTCTTCACGGTAGCAGGGGAGGGAGGTATTACTCCTGTTTTCTACAGAAGTAAAATGAGGCACAGAGAAGTTCAGGAACTTGCCCAAGATCACAGAGCTGGAAAATCGAGGGGTTGAACCCAGGCCACGGAGACTGAGGCAATTGGAGGAAAACCCCAAAGCGACACAGTTCCAAACCAGGCAGTTGGGTGAAAGAAGCAATGGACCCCAGGTCCCCACAGCCTCCTGGCCGGTGGCGCCTGATCAGACCGTTGAGCCCACGGGGGCTACTGGAGTTTGTGTGTGAGGACGTACAGACCGGTCTGGCATGAGGGGCGTGGGGGCGGCGGTTCTCTCTGAATAGCACAGAGATTACTATGCAGACTTCAGCCTGAGATACGAACCGACCTGACTTGGGTTCTCACGCCCACCTGTGCACTTCGCTCGCTGCGTTAGTCGATGGTTCTATGAGGCTCCGGCCCCGGAAGTCCCGGGCGCGGGCCCAGGCTGGACGCACGTGTCTCTGCAGTTCGCTTTCCGAACCCGACACACAAACTGAAACTAAAACGGCCAAAGCTCCGCCGCCGGCCCAGAGGGCAGGGAGCGCAGGCAAGGGGTCCGCCCTCAGCCTCGCCGGGGCGGGGACTCCCCAGCGCCCCTCCCCGGGCCGCTTTCCCTCCTCCTTCGCGGTCCCTTCTCTAGGGGGAAGGGGGGCTCTGAAGGCAGCTTCAGGCCAGGAGGGGTCCGAGGAGTGGGTGGTGGCGGGAGGGCGGAGACGGGGCGGGCCCTCGGAGAGAGCGACACCCCCCTCCTCCCCACCGACTGGGAGTCTGGCTAGGGGTGCAGAGGCCTTGGGGCGTTGGGGAGATGGCGGCG